TTTGTATCTAGACATTGTATCATAAATAAATAAACATATCTTTGCTCTAAAGTAAACCATGTCTCTATGCTTCTAATAAATATACCGAACTGCTCTAATGAGAAAACATTCCACTTCCACACCGCTTCATATCTCGCTCTGTTGTTTTAAAGATCCCTGTTGCTGTGTGCTATATTGCAGGTGGTAAATTAAGAAGGCTATCCCACTTGTAACACCATGTTTTGCATTGATTAGGGAGTGCCATTTATTATGTAATTTTTTAGGGGAGGGTCAGCAATTTATCACATCAATATATTTAATACAATATAAATGTTATAATTGGCTGCTAGGAGGGAGGGGTTTGGGCTTCTAATAAAAAAAAATTACATAATAAATGGCATATCCCTTATTAATCCCAAATTGATTACAAATAATAATTATAATCCTTATAAAGTTGGATAATTTAACACAACTAATCAAATTTCATTGAGAACACATCAGCATGACCAGGTATAGGCAAATCGTGTTTTTTTTAAAAATCCCATGTGGGATTCACGGGATTGAGTAGAGTTTTAAATTTCTTATGAACAATAAAAAATATATATAAAGATCATCACTGTGAATATAATTTCTTGTAAAAATAATAATTATTTCTTATAAATCTTACTGCATTTATTATAAATAAAAAAATGTTTATATGATTTTGCCTACTTTAAAACATGCATAGAAATTTCATATACAATTTAAGCTTAAAGTAATTGAATCTTATAATTATTAAATTTATCCATTCAGATTCGCCTTAATTTTATAAATTTTAAATTTTATAAGTTAGAAATTAAATTAATTAATTAATTAATTAATTAATTAATAATACTGTATAATAATATCTACATTTAACCGGGGGGAAATCCCCTCCCCTAATTATTTATAGGGTTAGGGTTAGAAATTAGAGAATTATTATTTTTTTATATAATATAATATAGAGCTACTATAAGGGCCCGATAGGGCCCGATCTCAGTTCTCGTGAGGTTTTTGGGGTCCCGAACATTTTTACTTAGAGTACCCGATCCTGTTTACTTAGTACGTTTTTGATATATAGCACCCCCGGTGATTTCCCCCCGGTTAAAATTAGCAATTGCCTAATATTTAATAAAATAACGCATCTTATATTAAAAATCCCGCGCGGGATTTTTTGAATCCTGCGCATCACGCGCGTTGCCCATCACTAATGGCCGTCAACCCGAACCGCACTCGGATAATGTGTGAGTGCGAACTACGCAACAGATTTCAAAATTAGGTATAACGTTACACGATCAGGAAGATTCAAACAATCGTTCGTTCTGCCAAAAATCGTTCATAGCTCAAAAATTAGCATAAGAAACCACCTTTGGTGTTCTAGCAAAAAGTTTTCGTTGGGCAATTTTACTACATAAATATCCTCCTCTATTTTTTAACCCTGATCCTAACCTTAATCTTAACGAATTTTAAGAACTTCGTCTGCGCCACCAACCAAGTACACATATCTAAGTGCACCCGAACCGACCCTAGATGGTATGTTCACACTCGTCAATGCGAAATCACCAAGTAATTATAGCATTACCATTTTTCACTATTAGCGTTACAGCAAGTACAATGAATTATTATTATAATAATAAAAAATTAACGAATCAATTTAAAATCGTTGGTATTTTATTATTTGTGTTAAAAAAATTATAATAAACTTAAAAAGTAGTCAATACTGTTTAAAATTATAGTCTATTCGTCTGTTAATGATACAGTATCTAGTTTAATAAAATATTCATCACCTCTTTCAAAATCTCATACTCCTATACTCGTTCTTATCATCAAAGCCATTTAACATTTGCAACAATAATCCTCCTGTTTCTTTGAAACCATTCTCTCGCACTAATATTCATTTGGAATTCACTTTTAAATTTACTTTTATAAGCATTGTTATAAAATCGGGTTAAAACCCTATGTATAATTCCAAAGCACGAACAACAACATAAAGCTTGCCCCACAGTAGTACGTGTGAATTGTGCTAATGCATTGTCGGATTGAACTAGAATCAATTGATTGCGTTGTGGATATGTGATACGGATTTCGTGTTGGTAACCTTGATCACGAATAATTGAAATTATGGATTGAGTTAAATAAGAATAATCCCAGTACACAATCTATAAAAAGAATTTCAAAGAAAAAAAATTTAATAATTATTAATGCAGTAATGTGAAAAAAAATAAAATAAAAATAAAATAAAGTAATTTTGATGATAATATATAAACCTTGTGCATTTCAATAGATTTTAAACCACTATCACGACGAATATATTCTTCTAAGACATCCATGAAACCCATGTCTGGTTTATTTTCATTTGGATAAGCACGTAATTCTCCAACAGACGATACGAATTCCGTTAAATCCAAAGTGAACCTAAAATCCGTTATTTCAGCATTCTTTCTATTGTTACCACCTTTCCGTGTATGATATCCTATTAATATAATTAATAAATAAAATTATTATTAGTAACTATGGTATTGAAAAAAAGGGGTAGTATGTTGAAAAACAGCATCGTGGCTAATTACTATGATAATTTAAAAAAAAGATAGAATATATAAACATAGCGATTCAACCACAATAGCATACTTTGCCTATTACCCAAATCTAATTTATGTAGGAATTAAAAATTACCATAAATTATAATAGCCATTTCAGGTTTGTCATTATGCTCGGTAAAAAATCTGTATAATGACTCAGAGTCCCTACTTAATTGTGGATCACACGATACAACACCACCTTGTAAAACTTCATAATCAAATTCATGATTTATATATGATCCGCGTGGTAAAGGAAAAGTCATATATTGATTAGACGAAGTGGATTGGTTCGATGAACCACCATATGACCTCCCAAATAAATTATATGGACTATTATTTTTATTGCCAAGTAAAGGATGTCGTTCACTAGTTGAGTTATTTGAAGAAAGCATTTCTTCTATAGCATGTAAATTAGCTGCAGCCGAACGAGAGAATGTAGAAAAGGAAGTAGACGGTATATTGTCTTCTAGATCTCGAGATGTTATAGCTTCCTCGTAAGTTGGTGGAGCAGCATTTACTTCGTCTATTATTTCAGAGTCATTTATATCTTCACTTGAATTTAGGTTGTCGCGATTTTGAACATTACTGACTTCAGAACGATCAGACCCTGTAGACATTTTATTATAACACAGATTTACTGAGCGAAAATAACAGTTGAAATGGGTATTAAAGCAGGAGGAGTATGTTGAAAGGTCTTATGACTCGTATACTTTTATATATCGATTTGTGGTTAACCAAACTTGGCAAATACAAAATTCATTAAATTCATTGGGTATTTTAACAGATAGTGTAAATTGTCACATGTATGTTTGGTAGCTTAAAGGAAACGATTGGCTATCATAATCACACTTTATTTACATTGTTTGTAGCCTGATTTAGCAAGTTTTTT